GAGAGAGAGAGAGAGAGAGAGAGAGAGAGAGAAGAGAGAGAGAGAGGGGGAGGGAGGGAGGGAAGTAGTGGAAAGAGAGAGAGAGAGAGAGAGAGAGAGAATGTATATATAAAAAAAAAAAAAAAAAAAAAAAAAAAAATATATATATATATATATATATATATATATATATATATATATATATATATATATATATATATATATATATATACATATATATATATATATATATATATATATATATATATATATATATATATATATATATATATATGTATGTATGTATGTATGTAACACACACACACACACACACACATTTATATATATATATGATAACATTATGTAAACTGGGCCTCTGAGGTTAGACAGTGGGGGCAAATTTGTTCACAATAAAATCTTTGTGGATGATTTTCTTTTCGTGTTTTGTCCTTGTCACTTCAATTCAAATTAACTGAACTGCTAATTAACAGAGAAACCTTTTAGTATAACAAAACAATACTAGATGGATTATCTTTATTTGATGTGGAGAATCATTAATTTCAGGTCTGACATGCTCAGTATCATTATCATGTATAAACTTATTCTGTTTATACATATATATACTTTATAGGTCATGTGTTTACGTAGATAAAAAAGTCCTACAACAGTTCTACAAACTCTTCCGAGGCAGTAACTATAAGCTTTTTCTAAGTATCATTATTTTCTTCTTTGTAAACTTCAGTTAGGGTTCATCTACGTCAAACAATTTTTTTTTTCAGCAACTAGGCATTACTCAAAAAAAAACTACTAAGTACTAGGTTACCATCTAGTCATTAGCAACTTTCGTAAAAAGATTAAGCACTAGTTCTTAGTAACGCTGATGGTTGAGTTCTCTTTAATGAAACAAAAACTTAAGATAATGAGGATTTCTTAGTAAACGACATGGATAATGAAGCAAAAAATTGGATGAGGGAAGAAAGAAAGATAATAAGCGTTTGGTATAATTATTCAACTGTAAACTTTCCTTTTTTCTCAATTTTTTTTTTTTTTCAAATTCTGCCCTTCTTAAAGATCCAAAAGTAAATAAAATGTCTCTCATATCTCAAGTGATTCTCTCTATGAAAGAAATGTGATTAAAAAGACATAACGTAAGACTATATACTCTCCAAATACGTAAAATGTATTGTTTTGTGGTCAATTATACACCAAAGCAGCTAAATAATATCAGGTAACATTGCTTTAGAAGACTTGTTGAAATCCACATATCCGTTTAAAATGCAAGTGCGATCAACATTCTTTATTGTTGGAAAAAGTTGAAGTTAGTGTGTATTCTCTGCTTACGGTGTTTTTTTCATTTTGTTTATCCGTTTATTATTTTTTCTTTCTTTATAATAATAATAACAATAATAATAATATCAATAATAATTATCATTATTATTATTATCATTATTATTATTATTATTATTATTATGTGTGGGTGTGTATGTGTGCATGTGTGTTTGTATATGTGTGTGTGTTTGTGTGTGTGTGTGTGTATGCGTGCGTGCTTTTGTCATCTGTGGTTATGATGTCTTCAGAGTAAGAGTAATTTCCCAACCATTTTGCCCACAATTAATGTCATACATATTACAAAATACCGTGCCTTAACAACCCAAACAAGTGGCCATAAACGTCTCATTTATCAACAACAAATGTTACAAACTCTCAAAGGAAAACGTTATAAGCCTACAAACAGTACAACAGAGGGAGAGAGGGAGAGAGAGCAAGAAAAGGAGAGAGAGAGAGAGAGAGAGAGAGAGAGAGAGAGAGAGAGAGAGAGAGAGAGAGAGAGAGAGAGAGAGAGAGAGAGAGAGAGAGAGAGCTGGAAAGAGAGAAGAGAGAGAGAGAGAGAGAGAGAGAGAGAGAGAGAGAGAGAGAGAGAGAGAGAGAGAGAGAGAGAGAGAGAGCTGGAAAGAGAGAAAGAGAGAGAGAGAGAGAGAGAGAGAGAGAGAGAGAGAGAGAGAGAGCTGGAAAGAGATAAAGAGAGAGAGAGAGAGAGAGAGAGAGAGAGAGAAAGAGAGAGAGAGAGAGAGAGAGAGAGAGAGAGAGAGAGAGAGAGAGAGAGAGAGAGAGAGAGAGAGAGAGAGAGAGAGAGAGAATGAGAGAGAGCTGGAAAGAGAAAGAGCTGGAAAGAGAGAGAGAGAGAGAGAGACAGAGAGACAGAGAGAGAGAGAGAGAGAGAGAGAGAGAGAGAGAGAGAGAGAGGAGAGAGAGAGAGAGACAGAGAGACAGAGAGACAGAGAGAGATTTGTAACACCTTGAACGAAGAGCCGGGCCGACATCTCGCGCCCTTCAGCCAATCACCGTTGGCTGTGGCGTACGAAAGCCCGACGTGATTGGCTGGCGGGCCTGAGATGCCGGTCCGGCTCTCCGTTTAAGATCTCACAAGAGTCTATAAATATGAGCGACAGGCAGGCAGACAGATAGATGGACACTTCACACCTAAAGATCTTTTTAGAACTCACTTGGGATCAGTACAAGTATAAGAGGAGCCCGTGAAGAGACACTGGAGAGACCCGCAGCACCGTACAATCAAAGGCTGCTTGTTTGTCTCGCTCAGGAAGACGCACATGGAGTTCTCACGTCCACAGCTCGCGCCTGTCTGTAGGGGGAGGAGGGGGAAAGACCAAACATGTTTATGATTTCATGGAATTTGATAGTGATGAGTTGCTAGAGTTTTTTTGTTTTTTTTATTCGATGACAAGGTTGACAAGTTTGTTTCAACTATTATATTTTCCTGCTCTAGATTCAGATGTTCATGGAAGACAGGTGATGTCTTAAATTGTTTTATTTTTGCATTCCTTAATTAGTATGTGTAAGAGCTCATACTAACAACTTACACTCACACTGGTTTAGTATGGAAAACACGTTACTTGCGATGCCACAGCAGATATTAACATTTATTCTAGAGGGACTTCAGTTTAGGACAATGTTTCATGCTATATCTGTTTTCGTCTAACATTCAGATAAATCAGAAACCTCGGTATGAAACCAAGATGGAAGGATGGAAGGATGTTATAAAAGACTTGTAAGAAAAAAGAAAAAATTTAGATGAAGAGTTTTCTGCGACTGTGGACTCTACAGTTTCATTTAGAAAGGAGAGAAAGTATCCCACTAATATCCTTACAGTATTAAACCGATATATATTAAAGATATATGATACGTTAAAGAATTGGTCCCGATAATAGCATAGGCCCATGTCATCATACTCAAATCAGATAGATCTATTTGTTACTTTCTATATATGAAATACATTTTTTTTTTCTCAGAATAACTCTAAACTCACTTCAGTCAGATAAATCATGATCTCGTAACTTACAAAAATCTACGGACTACATAACCCACATTTCACCATATCCTACGTTAAATGGGTACAAAAACAAAAACAAAAACAGGATTTCTACTTCACTCCTAGACGTCAAAGGCTGATGGAACAAATTCAAACAGTAACACAGTGGAAAACGCTGAAATGAAACAATGAAATGGAATAGTAAGAGAAAAATCCTTCAGAAGGCTTTCACAATATCTGGGATCTAGGGCAATCTATTGATATATATTTATAAGAAGACCAATTACGAGGAGGGGGTATTACACATAATTACAATTACCTCGATAATTCTTTTATACCCTGTGTTTTAGCTAAAACCATTACCTTATTAGCTAATATTCCCTGCCCCTATATACATAACACACCCGCGTCCATCGGAACAGTACACTTGTTCACAATAACCTAACCTAACTTAATTCAACCTCACCAACCTAACTTAAACTGCTCAGAAATCCCACCGAAAAGTTTCTGCAATTTTTTTTCGCTATGCAAAAGACCTGGAAGGCTTCTTATATGACCTGTATTCAGGTGAAACTTCATTACAGTTCACAAGTAACGCTTGACAGTATTTGTTAGCTACAATAACGGCTGATTGCAGATATCACTGGCAGGAGCTACCTGATGCACACTGTGTGTAAGTCGTTTGTTGCAGTGTATCGTAGCTATATTGCATTTCAAAGTACAATGGAAATACAGCGTTTCAGAACGCATGGTGTATATATACAGTAGAATTATATACACACATTCATCTATACAGTACTTGTATATAAGCATACAGTACATACATGCATCTGTTCATTTATGCATATGGAGAAAGAGAAAGAGAGAGAAAGAGAGAGAGAGAGAGAGAGAGAGAGAGAGAGAGAGAGAGAGAGAGAGAGAGAGAGAGAGAGAGAGAGAGAGAGACAGACAGACAGACAGAGAGAGAGAGGAAAGGAGAGGAAAGAGAGAGACAGCGAGAGTGAGAAAGAGAGAGAGAGAGAGAGAGAGAGAAAGAGAGAGAGAGAGAGAGAGAGAGAGAGAGAGAGAGAGAGAGAGAGAGAGAGAGAGAGAGAGAGAGAGAGAGAGAGAGAGAGACAGACAGACAGACAGACAGACAGACAGACAGAGACAGAGAGACAGAAACAAACAGACAAACATACGATACACATACATGCATAATGACTGATACTCAAATACTGACATACCTACCTACCTACATACATATATACATAAATCCATCAATCCATCCATACAGACAGACAGACAGCCATACGCCATCCATCCATCCATCCATCCCTCCATCCACCCAACTTACCCGTTTCTGATCGAGGTATTCGTTGATCTTGTCGAAATACATGGGGCTCCACTTCTGAATGGGTTCGTCTCGAAACTGTGAATGTTAAAGGAAAAAAAATGGACTAAGTTTCAAATCCATTTACATTTTGATAAGGTATATATCACAAAAATAAATAAATAAATAAATAATAATAAAATAAATAAAATGAATAAATAAATAAATAGATAAATAAAAAAAGACAGAAGAATGCGTAAGTATATATATCAAATAAAGTTATATCTTTGAGTGTGACATCCCTAAAAAAAATAGTCCTTAATATAGAAAAAAACAATCTGGATGAATTATTTTCGGTTAATCTTAAATCCCTAGTTCTAAAAATAAATACAAATAAATCACACTGGACGAGTTTCACATCCATGAAAAAAAAAAATCATTTAACAAACCATTCTTGAATAAGTCTCACAATACTAAAACCGAAGAATACATCCAAATCCCATAATTCTCAAACGAAAAGGAAATATGGATAAATTCTCGCAAAACTTTTATCCATAGAATCTAAAATAACTTGAAACAATAACCCAACGAAGGATATTTTTTTCCCTCTCTTGGTAAGCGCGTTTTCTGGATTCTCATCAGGGAAAGAATGTTCGCTATGTGCCGTACTATCATTACATGGCCTCATTTTTCTTCTTCTTCTGTTTCTCCTTCTTTCTCCGCTTCTCTTTCTCCTCTTTTCCGCTTCTTTTTTTTATTCCTCTATTCCAGTTCTCCTCTTTTTCTTCTTTTCTTCTTCTTTTCTCTTTCTCTCTCTCTCTGCGCTCTATTTTTCTTTCTTCCTTTATTTCTCTCTTTCCTTTTCTGTTCCCCTTTTGTTTTGTTCCCTATTATGTTGTTTATTCTTTACCTCCATCCTTTTCTTCTTTCCTCCTCTCCTCCCCTCTTCCATACCTTCTTCTTCTCCTCCTCTCCCCCTCCTCGCTCCCTTCCCCCTTTCCTACTCCCCCCTTTCCTCCTAACACTCCCTCCTCCCTCCCCTCCCCCCTCTCCCCTCCCTCAACACCTCTCTCCCTTCTCCTCCTCCTTCTCCCCTCTCTTTCTCCTCCTCCTCCTCCCCTCTCCTCCTCCTCCCCTCCCCCCCTCCCCCCCCCCCTTAAGTAATTCTATTATCCCCCGATCCCTTTCCTCACGCCCAGGACACCGCGGGGACACTCGCAGATGACACTGAATGGGCGGTCTGGCGTGTCTTCTCGTCCAATTCTCGATGCATTTTCTCCCCCGCTGATGATAGAGGCTGGGTCGGGAGGAGGAGGAGGAGGAGGAGGAGGAGGAGGAGGGGGGAAAGATGGAAGAGGAGGTGGAGGAGGAGGAGGAGGAGGAGGAGGAGGAGGAGGAGGAGGAGGAGGAGGAAGGAGGAGGAGGAGGAGGATGGAGGAGAAGGAGGAAGGAGGAGGAGGGGGAAGAAGGGGAAAGATGAAGAGAAGAGGAGAAGGAGAGGAGGAAGAGGAAGGAGGGGGAGGAAAAAGAAGGAGGTGGAGGAGGAGCGGGAAAAAGATGGAAAAGAGGAGGAGAGAGGAGGAGGAGGAGGAGGTGGAGGAGGAGGAGGAAGGAGGGGGAGGAGGGAGGATGGAGGAAGGAGGAGGAGGAGTGATGAGGGAGGATGACGAAAAGGAGGAGGAGGAGGAGGAGGAGTGGGAAAGATGGTGGAAGAGGAGGAGGAGGAAGAGAAGAGGAGGAGGAGGAGGAGGAGGAGGGCGGGGAAGGCGGAGGAGGAGGAGGAGGAGGAGGTAGAGGAGGGCAGGAGGAGGAGGAGGAGGCGGAGGAGGAGGAAAGAAGAGAAGGGGAAAGGAGGAGGAGGGGGGGAAGAGGGGTGAAGAGGGGAGGAGGAAGGATGGAGGAGGAGGAGGAAGAGGAGGAGGAAGAGGAGGAGAGAGGAGGAGGAGGAGGGGGAGGGAAAAGGAAGAGAGATGGGGAGAAGGAGGAGGAGGAAAGGGGAGGGAGGGAAAGAGGGGAAAAAAAAGTGGGAATGGGGGAAGAAAAGGGAGGGAGGTCGGGAAATGAGCTCCAACGGTGGGAAGAGTGGGGTTGAAGGGGGGAAGGAGGAGGGAAGGGGAAGGGGGAGGGAGGGGGGAGGGGAGGGATAGGGAGATAGGAGGGGGATTAAGGAGAAGTGGATTAGTAGAAGGGGGAACGGATAAAAAAATAAAAGGGGAAGAAAGAGGAAGAGAAGAGAGAAGGAGGGTAGGGAGAGAACGAGAGAGAAAAGCGAAGTTGGGGAGGAGAACGGAAAATGGGGAGGGAATGGAAGGGGAGGAACGGGAAGAAGCGTAGGAAAAGGGAGAGAAAGGGAACAAGTGGGGATGAGAGGGAGAAAGAGGAGGAAGGAGGGGACGGAAAGGATGAAAGAGGACAAAGAAGGGAAAAAGGAGGGGAAGGGTGAGAGAACGAAATGGAGAGAAGGGCAGAAAGAGGATCCGAGAAAAGAGGACGAGAGAAGAGGGATGAATGAGAAAGGAAATGAGAGGTGAAGAAGAAGTAAGGGAGGAAAAGAATATAGGGGAAAGAGATAAGTGAAATGAGTGGAAAGGAAGATAAGAGATAAGATATAAGAAGAAAAAGCGAGGGGAAGAGGAGAAAATGGGAAAGGAAGGGAATGATATAAATACTGTGGAATGAAGAGGGGGACAGGGGAGGAGGAAGGGGAAGAAGGAAGAAGGGAGAAGGGGTGAGAGGGAAAAAACAAAGGGAGAAGGCAACGAGGAAGGAATATGGAAAGCGGATATAAAGGGAAGAGAAAGAGGGAAAAAGGGAAAAAAGACCACAAAAGAAAGAAAGGAGGAAAGAAATAAAGAAAAGGATAAAAGGTGAAGAAAAGGAG